AATAAATGGTACTGGAAAAACTGTACACATGCAGAAGAAAGAAAGTAGGCGCCTATCTCTAACCACATTCAAAAATCCACTCAAATCAGTTCACAGACTTAAGACATAAAACCTGAAATGTCAAAGCCACTGGAGGAAAATATAGGGGAAATATTTTGGTATTCTGGTGTGACAAACCACAATGAGATATTCTCTTGCTCCAGTAAAATGGCTATTAAATAAAAATATAAAGAATAACAAATGCTGGGAAAAAACTCTACTAGCTATTCAGATAAAGGACTATTATATATAAAGAATGCAAAAAATCAATCCCTCAAATTTAAAGACCAAATCCAAAAATGGGCATCTGAAATAAAAAGACAAAGAACTAGAAATGACAAATAAATATATGGAAAAATGTCCAACATTGGTCATTCGTGAAATGCAAATTAAAACTGCTGAGATTCCATCAGACTCCATAAAGAATGGTTGCTATCAAGAAATCAACCAATAACAAATGGTGAAGGGGCTGTAGAGGAAAAGGAACCCTTCTCCACTGCTGGTAGAGTATAGACTGGTGCAACCACTGTGGTAATCAGTGTGGATATTCCTCAAAAACTAAAACTATAGGTTCCATTTGACCTAGCTATACCTCCTCTTGGTATCTTCCTGAAAGAATTAAAAGCATCATACGAGAGCTATAGATGCACACCCATGTTTATAGCAGCACACATTGTAATAGTTAAATCTTAGAAACAGCCCAAATGCCCATCAACTGATGAGTGGGTAAAGAAGATGTGGCTTTTTTTATACAATGGAGTACTACTCAATCATAAAGAATGATGAGCTTCAGACGCTTATAGCTAAATGGATGGACCTTGAGGCCAAATACTTAAGTGAAATAAATCAGACACACTTGTTTAATACCACATTCTTTCTCTGGTGTGAGAAACTGAATAAGGAAATAAGGACTAAGATGTATACTGTATGTTGGGAAATGGGAAGAAAGTGTTCAAAGGGGAAGGGGAACAAGGGAGGAAGAAGGGAGAAAGAAGAGACAAGAAAAAAGTGAAAATAGAAGGAAAAATGGAAGCAGCTTTGGTACATAGGGAGGGAAAGGGGCTTGGGGGGATGGGATAAAGAATAACAAATGCTAGAAGAGAAAGGAGAACTCTCATACACTGTTGGTGTGAATTAAATTAGAGTAGCCATTATGGAAAACAGTATGGAAGTGCCTCAAAAAACAATAATGAGCTGACCCTGGCAATACATGCACTCAGGAGGTTGAGGCAAGAGGATCACTAGAAGTTCAAGGCCACTCTGCAATATTTATATATTGAGACCCTGTCAAAAGCAAGCAAGCAAGCTAGCTAGCCAGCTAGCAGATCACTTCAACCCAGCCTATAGTTTAAAAACAAAACAAACTCTGAAATACAATTACCATAAAATCCAGTAATCTCACTAGTGGTTATATAATTCAAAGGACATGAGGTCAGTATGTCAAAAAGATAGGAACACTAGCATTTTTAGTGCACCATTATTCACAACAGCTACAATATGAAATCAACCTAGCTACCCTTGCATAGATGAATGGATAAAGAAAATGTGATGTGTATATACAATGGAATATTATTCAGCTATAAAAAAGAAATTCTGTTATTTGTAGCAATGTGGATGGAACCACATGATACTATATTAAGTGACACAAATACTACATGTTCTCGCTTATATGGGTTAGTTAACATTACCCTAAACTAGAGAATAAGCCAGGCATGATGGCACACCTCTGTAATCCCAGAACCAGGGAAGCTGATGCAGGAGGACTGCTGCAAATTTGAGGCCAGCCTGGGCTACACAGTAAGTTCAAGGCCAGCCAGACTACATAGTGAGACCCTGCCTCAAAAAATAATAAATTAAATTATTAAAAATTTTGAGTAAAGCTGGGCGTGGTGGCACACGCCCATAATTCCAGCACTGGGGGGGGGCTGAGGCAGGACGACTGCTGTGAGGTCAAGACCAGCCTGGGTTACACATTGGAGTTTCAGGTCAGTCTCAATTACATAGTGAGACCCCGTCACAAAAAAACAACAACAACAACAAAAAATTTAAGTAGAGAATAGTAGATGACCAGAGCCTTGGAAGGGTGTAGGAAGGAAGGGCTAGAAAGAGAATGGTTAATGGACACAGGGCTGCAGCTGAGTAGGAGGATAACTTCTAGTTTTCTATATAGCACAGAAGACAAAATCTGAGTATTTCAAAACAGTTAACAGGACTTTAAATTTTCCAAACACAAAGAGATGATATGTGTCTGAGATGATAAGATTATGTCAATTACCCTGATCTGAGCATTATACATTGTACACATGTATTAAATAATGTACTCCATAAATATGTAGTTACTATGTGTCCATTTAAACATACACCACATAAATAAAATGCTAAATAAAAGTATTAATAAAATTAAAATTTAAAAATAAAGACTTTAAAAACTATTCTAGAGGTAAACTGAAGTACCAATATATACTTCCATTTGTAAGTGTGTATATACAGTCATTCCTATTTAATTACTAGTGCATCACTAAAGTCCCCTAGTTCTCAACGGGAACAGTATGATGTGCATGCCTAGAGAGTAGCATTTTGTTTTCAATACTCTTCTCCCCTAACAGAAATAGCATTCCTTGCATAGCTAATTTTATTTGAGGAGGCAGAAGGGATTAAAAATGGTCCTGAAAAGCAACAAGTTCTGAAAAGTTTTGAGATGATGGTATTCAAGAAGATTCAGGAGCAAGCAAACTGACAAAGGGCTGCCACTAGTCAAACTATAAACTGAATCCTAAAAAAGAAATATCCAAGTATAATTAACTTGGTATGGTTAATTATAATAAATTAAAACAAGTCTGAAAAGACCTGATTATATAAATCTCAAGGGAAAAAATGAATTTGGTTTCTCTTCAAATAACTAGCCCTTCATTCATTGAAGTTTTTTTTTTTTTTTTTCATATGAAAAAAGGCAGCTGGAAGTAGTGGGAAGTTGTGGAATAACAGCAATACAGAAGAAAGTAGCCCACATTTAGAGTATACAAGAATAATCAAAAAACATGATGTCGGGCAGGGGATTTAGCTCAGTGGTGTCATCACCTGCCTCACAAACACGAGGTCCTGAGTTGATCCCTGGTACAAAAAAGGAAAGAAAAAGAAAGAGAGAGGGAGAGAGGGAGACAGAGTGAAAGGAGGATGGGGGAGGGAGGGGAAGGGAGAGGGGAGAAATAAGATGTGTGCTTACATACAAATAAAACACACTGTAGTAAAAGACACACTGCCCTGAATCTCCACAATACTTCCCCTCTTACTGGCTGCCTCAATATCCTCAATCAATTCAGAAAGTTTACTTGTCATGGTCCGTTTGACTTTGAGGAAGAGCCAGAAACTACACAGTGCCCGATCTAGTGAATAAGGTAGATAAGGACACAATGCAGTGTTTCCAATCTTTTTGCTAAATGTCATTTAGGAGCAGCATTAACCAGATTTTTTAAGTGCATCTCATAAAGACTCAGAAAAGAAAAACTTCCAGAAATGCTTCAAGAAGTGGCAAGGATGATCAGGTGTGTACAAAGTGTGTATGGGGGGGGGTCCTTTTACAATAATAATTTTTAAAATGTAAAGTCACCATGTTTATACCATACACAGAAGGTGAAGCCTGAAAGACTTCTAGTAGACTAGATTGTTAAGGATGAGAAATCAAAGACTCCCTGCCTTAGCCATACATTCACTAAGAGAAACACAAGAGTAGCTTCAGAGTAACAGTAACTTCCATGGAGGACACACTAAATTAATATTCTCTGTCTAAGAAAAACTGGGCACAGTGGCACATGTCTGTAATCCCAGTTACCAGGAGGCTGGGACAGGAGAATCACAAGTCTGAGCCCCACCTAGGAGACTTAGCTAGACCCTACCTCAAAATAAAATAAAAAGAGCTGCAGTCCTCCCCCTAAAAAACTCTATGAAGAGATGTTAAAAAAGCAAGCTGAAGCTGGGTGTGGTGGCACACACCTGTAATCCCAGCACTTGGGAGGCTGAGGCAGGAGGATCCCTGTGAGTTCGAGACCAGCCTAGACTACATAGTGAGTTCCAGGTCAGTCTCAACTATATAGTGAGACCTTGTCTCAAAAAAACCAAAACAAACAAACAAACAAGCAAGCAAGCTGAAGATACAGATTGTATAAAAGCTCCTAAGCTGGTACTGGTACCTCATTATTCTGTACAACTTTATATTGTATATATTAGTTAACTGGTAATATAATTTTTAAGTCATCAGCACATAGTTAATATAAAAAGCCACTAAACTGAGTAAGACCTTGAACTTGGGAGGCAGGCAATGTACCACTAAGCTAAATCCCCAGCCCCTCAAGATGATCTTCAACTTCAGAAAGAAAGCCTAACACTGCTTCCAAATCCTATCCAACAATTGTTTCAAATATCACCAGAGATTGTCTCTAAATGGAGCGTACAACTCAGTTCCTTTGACAATTTCTTAAATCATTAACCTGTAAATTTTGAACAACCTACGCTTCCTACCTTCTGCAGATGCACAATACACATGAGCTTACTGAAGACACCTGGAAGTCTAACAGACCAGAAACTATTTGTTTAACTTAGTATTTCATTTGCTAATGAAACTTTTTTTCATCTACATGTGTATCAACAAAAAATACTTTAAAACAGCTGCAGTTCAGAACTAAGTCATTGTATTAACAGCCTGGAGTGTTTCTTCAAGTTTTAATTTTGCTAAAACAAAAACACATATTCATAAACATTAATTTCTGCTAAAGCAAAGAAAAGTTACAGCAAACTTTTTCACTTTGTAGCTTGTTATCAAACTATTTGGGCAGATGAGAGTTTTAGTATTTGGTATATAGATAAATGCCAATTCAGAACACTGCTATATAAATACTAAATGCAGTGTATAGGTTAAGCCCAAATTACTATGTACATTGTTTTTAAATCTTAGGAAGTTAGAATACCTGTTTCCACAATATTTTCTGATTCTGTTGTCTCCAACCCGTCCATGCTATCCTCATCTTCCACTGTAGTTTTTCCTCTACTTCGAGGCCTATAAAGAGAGAAATACATATATTTAAATGTTGTGTGATAAGGCTTATGTAGTATTTACACTCCACATAGAGCACAATTTGAAAGTTTATAAATTAGCTGGGTGTGGTGGTGCATGCCTGTAATCCCAGCACTTGGGAGCTGAGGCAGGAGGATTGCTCTGAGTTTGAGACTAGCCTGGGCTACACAGTAAGTTCCAGGTCAGTCTCAACGACACAGTGAGACCCTGTCTCAAAAAATATATATATATTATAAATTAAATAATTTATGCATTCGCCAGCATCTAACTATATTAAACAGTAAATAAGAGCCTTCATAGTCATTTTTTTCCCTTAAACTTAGATGGGAGGATCGGCCCCGGTTAGTGTGTGTGTGTGTGTGTGTGTGTGTGTGTGTGTGTGTGTGTGTGTGTGTGTGTGTGTGTGTGTGTGTGTGTGTGTGTGTGTGTG